CTTGAGTCATGGTTCACGGGAGCCCAGTCTATCAACAAGTGCAACGACATCCCCACACCATATTCCGTGCTGAAGCATAGGCTAGCCAAAGTGATTAACCACTCGGGGAGCGCGCAGGGCGGTGAGTCAGATGGCCGAGCAATCATCATGCCAGCACCCAGCACGGGTGATGAGGTTTCAGCAATTAACAACTTGCATGCCAGCCATCAAGCAACTGGCGCACCAGCGGGTAACAATTGTTGGTGAAGGGGAGAGCGGTTAATTATCATAGGTAGGCGGTAGTGAAGCGACTGCACCCTATAAACACTGCAACTTCCTGTGCAAGAAACACCCGTTTCTGTCACTGTCTCTGATGATGGGTTCAAGTGAGAATCCGAAACGTTAAACGGATAAAACCTTTGTTCCACCGATCCTTTCTCTCCTTATCAACCGGCGTGTCAGAAAAGACAGTTCGACCGTTGCGAACGACGAAGTATACTGTGTTCCCACAGAATGGTAGGCGCGGGACTGTCAATTAGTCTTTATGTCTCTAAGTGAAGACCGAGCCCTTTACACTGACTCGACTAACCTTTTATTTTCCTCATCCTCCCGAGCAGCTATCTCCACGACGTTGCAAATTCTACCGTTCATCAGACAGCTTAGGTAGACCGTTAATGTCTACATCGTTTTATTTCACCAGTTGACTCAGTGTTAATTCTGTCTGGATAGTACCTTCTGGGCGCTCTAAAATAAAACTATCGTCATTACTACTATTGTTAATCACATGTGTGGGGTGTACGTGGTATCAATGGGCGTGGACACACGCTGCAGCCGTAAGGTCACTCTCGATTGGCCGATGTGGTCTGATAGTCGTTGCACGACAGTATACTGTCGGCGGTACTCGGCCGCAGCTGCACTGTCGACGAATGTCACGCGCTAAAGGGCAATAATACGCGCCATCATCTAGGCCGGTTGGAGCAGCTACGACTACGATCGTAGGAAGTAGTAATAAGCAGTATGTTGATGAAAGAAGGTGAAAGTTCGAGTTCCAGGTGTATGCATAAGTTAAGAAAAAGGGTTGAGCACCGGAACACTTCGTCTATTGTCCTGAGCTTTCAGATGTCAGATGTAGTAACAGCAACAGCACAAGCGACTGTTATAGGATATGTAGGCCAATCATCGACCGACGGCGTAAGACTGGAGGTGACTACGCAGGGCTCTGTATGCCGGCGCCAGATGGATAAATCGATTGACCTAGTTCTCATCCGAGGCCCAGGCTTCAATCAATTCTCGGCCTGTTTTGTTTCCGGCGCGGACGACTATTTTGATGGCTGCGAAGTCAAACTCGTGACCCATTTCGTAGGTGTGGGCGGCAACTTGTGATAATGCGTCGCCTCGTCGCACAGCCAGCTTGTGTTCGTGTATGCGCGATCCGAGCATGTGCCCAGTCTCTCCTGTGTAGTTACAAGGACAATTTTGACACGGAATGCGATACACTACTCCAGATTGCTCTTCAGGTTTTAACCGGTCTTTGATTTTCATGACCCTATTGTGCATGGTGGCTTTGGGGCGGTGTGAAATTCCAACACCTAGCTCCGCAGCAATGCGCTCGGTCGCTTATGAAACGCCCTTGATGTATGGCAGAGAATACCATATCGTCGGTGGCTTTCGTGTTCGAGTCCTCTGGTGGCGACCGCGTAGGCAGCGACTTATGAATGCCCTCGGATAGCCATTTTGCACAAACTGGTTGCGGAGATAACGGGCCTCCCATGCTCTGTCCTCCGGTTTGCTGCAATGACTTTGGATTCTCTAAGTTCCGCAAATATTCCCGTGTTAAAATTGAAAAGTCAAGTTGGCGAACGCACGTTTTCGGTAATTCTTCCTCAGTCCAATACAATTACATGAACGAATGAAAATGTACAAAATCAACAGTGTTTATAGATGCCTCAAGGGCTATTAAGTCACTAACACTCTTCATCCCACGCCGCCGCGTCTGTTGATTTTGTACATTTTCATTCGTTCATGTAATTGTATCGGCCTGAGGAAGAATTACCGAAAACGTGCGTTCGCCAACTTGACTTTTCGACTTTGGATTCGTTTGAAGAGCATCTTCACACAGCTTCGTTTGTGAACCACCGGATGGTTGCTGTGAAAACTGAGAAGCTGTGTGGCGTTCATTGCCTTCCTATAAACCGTCCTTTCAAGTTCGTCGTTAAGGTTTCGTCTGACAAGCACATCCAGGAAGGGCAACTGCTGTTCCTCTCTTCTTCCCTCGTAAATTTTATATCAGGGAAGACTGCGTTGAGCAGGTCATGGAAATGTTGCAGCATGTCTTTCTTTACGATGAGGAATGTGCCTTCTACGTAACCGCACCAAAATACCGGCTCATGTTGGATAGGGACACTTTTTTCTAACTCCTGTAGGACCAGTTCTGTCACTAAATCGGAGACCCGTAAGTCCATTGGGGTTCCCCTGATTTGTTCATAGGTCTCTCCCGCAAAAGTGGAGAAAGTTTGTTGGCAGAATCCAAACAGCCTCATGAAGTGTTCAATTTTGAGTGCATTCAGAGTCTCGTCGTACGCCTCTTTAAGTCTCTTGCGCAAGACCTCGCAGGCCAAGTTTGGTGGAATTGATGTGAATAACGACGCCACATCGAAGGAGACCATGATTTCGTTCGATTGAATTCTCCGACCTCGGAGGTCTATGAGGAATTGAGGGGCTGATCGAACTGAGGTAGTCGAATTGCCTTGAAAGAACTTCAGTTTTGAGTACATGCACTTTGCCAAATTGTAGGTGGGGCTGCCTTTTAGGGCAGCGATTGGCCGAAGTAGGACACTTGCTTTATGGATTTTTGGCAGACCAGAGAATAGAGCTAGAGCGGTGTCAGTTGCCTTCATTTGGTGCCATTCATTCTCCGTGATCACATCTTTATGTCCGTATTCTCTAAGCAGTGTACTCAGCCGATCTGCCACTGCTTTGGCTTGTGTATTCTGTGCTGGTCTGTAAAATTCTCAGTTATCAAGGAGGGCTTTAGCTTTTTCATTATAGACTTCTCGATTCATCACGACGGTTGACCGTCCCTTGTCAGCAGGTAGAATGATAATTCTGTTGTCCCTCCTCAGTTCCATCATAGCCTTTGACTCACTCTGCAAAATACATTTGGTTGGTCTGTGTGCCTTCAGCAAGGAGGTAAAACGTTGTCGGACAGAGTGTTTCATGTCGTCGGATGCTTCACTTCTCACAAGCATAGCTTTCAGGGCTGCAATGAAGTCGACAGGATCGGAATCTGCAGTGTTGAAACAAGTTTCATGCTGTAGCACTCGTAGTTGCTGCTCTATTAGCAGCTTAGATGAGAGGTTGTAGACCAAGTTTGAGCTTTATGTGCCTGGTGGTTTTAGCCTAGTCAGTTTTCGTTCCAAAATCTCTCTCTTCTTGGCTTGCCTGTGGTGTACCAGAGCGGAGATCGTCTTCGCAAGGTCGGCGGCGATAGAATCGCCGAGAGTGTGGACACATTGCCTTCTGTTCTCCTCGATCTCAGCCTTGTGTTTCTGCAACGCCAGTGACAGTCGTCAATCAGAACTCTTGCCATTTCTTTAACAAACCGCCCCACAACGTCTCTTCCCATGACCGTATTAACGGAAGCTTTATAGCTCAGGCATCGTGGAGTTAGTTCGTCTTGGAGACATCAGTGCAGAAAACGTAACTGTTTGTATGTTGCTGCCTCTCGTGTAGTGAATAACTCTCAGCTGCGAGCTGTCCGAAGCGCATCGCGTCCGAGTATGTTGATGATATCCACCAAACGCACTGATGAACCTGGTGGATAACTCAACTTTGACCCGCCACCCAGCTCTCAGCTGCGGTTGGACAAATCTATACTCACCGCGGTGGCCATACCCCAGTAACCGTCCTTGACTGATAGATTGAAACAGACGAAAGTGGCCGACGTGTATGTTCCTCTGCACCCGGTCGTCCCTGAACTAATGCCCATACTCCCTACCCACCCCCTTAGAAAGTCATACAAGGAGGGTGACATGCAAACCCATAAGCGGGCCACGCAAATTCGTTTCGTCTTCGTAATGTAAGAAAGCCGTGACCCATTGCGGAGTTCAGCACCCACACTGGATGACCAATCAGCTTTATTTTGGAAAGCATTGTTTGCGCCTTCGAGGTGCAGTGGCTTGAAGATGTCCCTAGAAATTCCGGTAAAACACGTCGTCGGAAAGCTAGCAGCGGCTTGTGAACGCAAAACGTGTGGTCGAAAAACCACAACAAGCAAAAACTATCGCCTCCATTTCAGGGCCTCGTTAAAGGCAGCCAAATCAATCCTTACAGCATGGGATTCTCTCTCACTAGCCAATTAACAACCGGCAGGGGGAGGCACAGCTCTGATCGTCTGGGGACTGTTAGCTGGAAAGTGCACATTTTGGCTCCTAGTGAGGCCGCCATTTCCGAACATGAACAATTGGATGACGTGGGCACCGGATACGCCTTTTTCTATAGTAGTGTCCAAGTTCAGGACGACGAGGTGTTGGAGTCACCTCTGTCATCAAGAACGACATCATGGAATGGCTTTTCTACCTCGCGCAGGCAGTCAGCGACCTCTCAGGACCATACGATTGTCGCTCCGCGGTAGAGAACTCGCCACTGTTGTCAGCATTCACGTAACCCCGCCCC